CTACCTACTTTGGGATTGGGGGGCTGTGCAGAGCTTGGGGCTGGTGGAGGCCTCGGGAGGGAGGGGGAAGGTCGCACAGCAAGGTTGAAGAAGCAGTTTCCCGCGATTCTGGGATTTGTCTGATGTTGAGAATCACTGGGGGGAACGTGTCTGAAACACAGACTCCGGGCAGCCCCCTCAAGAGCTGCCGAAGCAAAACCTCCAGGAGAGGGGCTGGGACGGGTGTGTTTGTAGATCAGCAGCTCAGGCGACTCACACGCTCAGGCAGGTATGGGAACCACGGTCTAATCCCAGGTCTCGCCCCTGGCCGCACCCTGGAACCATCGAAGGGGCTTTGGGAATAGTGAGGCCTGCGTCCCACCCCTAGAGGTTTACCTACAAGTGGCCCAAGGTGAGGCCTGGGAATGGAGATTTTTAAAAGCTCCCCAGGTGACTGTAGTATGTAGTCAAGGTTGGGAACCACTGCTCAGATCCAATCTGCTCAGTGCACAAGATGGGGAAACTGAGTCTCAGGTGAGGGCTCGTACTCTGTCACCCAGGGCATTGGTGCCAGATGCCCAATGGCAGCTGGGATCTCTTGACTCTCATGGTACCTACCTCTCATGGTACCTGCCTGGGGCTCTGTTTGGGGAGCAAAGAAAGCTTTCTTCCTCAAAGATCTTGAAGCTTACCACGTGCTCCAAAGCTAAATTTACTGGAAGCTGAAGGGGTGGAACTTTCTCTGGACCCATGCGTAGATTTGGTAAACGGAGAGAGGTGACATTCCATACTGACTTTAAATAAATATGGCATCCAGTACTGCCCAGAGGCGGGGCCCTGCCCTCGTTAGCCTCTTGATTTCAAGCAATGAGACTCCACTAGGGGCAAAGCTCTACACAAAGCACCATGGTAGAATTCCAATGAGATACCACCTCATACTCATTTGGATAGCTATTATAAAAAACCCCCAGCAAATGACGGGTGTTGGCGAGGATATGGAGACAGTGGAACCCTAGCGCATTGCTCGTGGGAAGGTAAAATGGTGTATCTGCTGGGTGTGGTTCCCTGAAAGAGTAAACATAGTACCATACGGTTCAGCTGTTCCACTGAGTGTATGTCCAAAATGAGGGAAAGCAGACCCTGGAACAGGTATTTGCAGACCCAAGTTTGTAGCTGCATTACTCACAGTAGCCAAAAGATGGAAAGAACCCAGATGTCCATTGATGGATGAGTAGATAAACAGAATGTGGTCCATACACACAATAGAATATGATTCAGCCTTAAAAGGGAATGAAGTCCTGACACCTGCTATAACATGGATGAACCCTGAAGACGTTGCACTAAGTGAAATGGGTCAGACGCAGAAGAATGAATGTCATATGAGCCCACTTCCGGGAGGTCTCTAGAGTCATCCAATTCATAGAGACAACGAGTAGACGGCTCCCAACGAGGGTGGGAGCCAGGGTGTGGGAAGAGGGGTGGGGAGTCCGTGTTCAACAGGGACAAAGGTTCAGCTGAGGAAGAGGAAACAAGCTCAGGAGATGGACAGTGGTAAGGTCGCACAACACTGTGAATGTACTGACTGCTACCGAAGTGTATCCTTAAAAACGGCTAAAATAGGGGCGCCTGGGTGGCGCAGTCGGTTAAGCGTCCGACTTCAGCCAGGTCACGATCTCGCGGTCCGTGAGTTCGAGCCCCACGTCGGGCTCTGGGCTGATGGCTTGGAGCCTGGAGCCTGTTTCCGATTCTGTGTCTCCCTCTCTCTCTGCCCCTCCCCCATTCATGCTCTGTCTCTCTCTGTCCCAAAAATAAATAAGAAACGTTGAAAAAAAAACAAACAAACAAACAAACAAAAAAAACGGCTAAAATAGTAAATTTCCTCTTACGTATATCCCACCTTAATAAAACATAAAGGTCTGTGGTGTAGTTTATAGACATGATGGTGAAGGCAGGGTGAGGGGCGGTTCTCTGGCCTTGAATAAGCTTACAGTTTAATGAGGTTCTGAATACACACAGGTGAACAAAGAAATGGACAGGCCAGAGAATATGAACCGCAGAATAGTCCTAATTCTGAACTAGGTATGATGCCGATGCTATAAAAACATTCAGAAAATAGAGGAAGAGAGGGGCGCCTGGGTGGCTCAGTCGGTTAAGTGTCCGACTTCAGCCCAGGTCATGATCTCACAGTTCGCGACTTTGAGCCCCATGTCCGGCTCTGTGCTGACAGCTCGGGGCCTGGAGCTTGCTTTGCATTCTGTGTCTCCCTGTCTCTCTGGCCCTCCCCAGCTCATGCTCATGCTCTATCTCTGTCAAAAATAAATAAACTTAGGGGCGCCTGGGTGGCGCAGTCGGTTAAGCGTCCGACTTCAGCCAGGTCACGATCTCGCGGTCCGTGAGTTCGAGCCCCGCGTCAGGCTCTGGGCTGATGGCTCGGAACCTGGAGCCTGTTTCCGATTCTGTGTCTCCCTCTCTCTGTGCCCCTCCCCCGTTCATGCTCTGTCTCTCTCTGTCCCAAAAATAAATAAATATTGAAAAAAAAATTTAAAAAATAAATAAACTTAAAAAAAAAAAAAAGAAAATAGAGGAAGAGGGAATAGCATTTATTTTGTTAGGCAGCCTCTCCCTGATACAAAAAACCAGACAAAGACATTACAAGAAAACTGTAGACCAACAGCCCTCATGAATATAGAAGCAAAAATGCTCACTAAAATGTTAACAAACTGAATCCAGCAATACGTGAAAAAAGTAATAATTATAGCTAAGTGGGGTTTTGCTTGGGAAAGAAAAGTCTCATTCAACATTCAAAAAACAATCAATGTAGTTCACCCTACTATATTAGATTAAAGGAGAAAAACCATATGGTCATCTCAAAAGATGCGGGAAAAGCATTTAACAAGACTTTACATCAAGTCATGATAAATACTCTAAGCAAACTAGA